GATCCCAGGACCCTGGGATCATGACCTGAGCCGAAGGCAGACGCTTAACGACTGAGCCACCCAGGCGCCCCCAGACTGAGTATCTTCTTTCCATAGAGTCCCACTCCAGCTTTCTCCTATTGTTTCTATTTCTCTTTATCATAGTTGACTTTGGTTTGACATTTCCTAGGTTTTTCTCTTTTCTTCACTTGACAGTTCATTTACAAGCTCCAGTGGATTCTATTATGTAATATCTTTCTTTTCTAGACCAGGGGTTCTTAGACTTGAACATGTATCATAATCAGCTGGAGGGATGATAAGATAGGCCATTGTACCCAACATCCCAGTTTCCTAATTTAGTAGGTCTGGAGTGGATCTGAGAATTTAATTTGCCTTTCTAGCTGAAGTTCCTAGGTGATGCTGATGCTGTTGGTCCTGATACCACACTTGAAGAACCTCTGCTTTACACTGTTAGATTAATCCTTCTGTGGTTATTCAGATGGTGTTAGGTCCCTTAGACATTTTCCATGGTCCCTTGTTCCTCCTGTAGCATAGAGTCGTGAATGCCTTAAGGTGGCATTCAGCACCCTAGAATCTGTTTTTTAGCCTTCTCTCTCTGACTGCATTTTCCCACATCCAAAGTCAAATTGGGGTATCGGTCCTAGTAGTTGTATGATGTTAAGCAAGTTTGCCTACTTTTCCTAAACCTCAAGTATCTTCATCTTTTAAGTGATACATGGTTTGTAAACAGCTTAGGTGTCTGGGATTTTGTGGACTTGCCCTTTGCTCAGTTCCCTTTCCTTGGAATACTGTTTACCAGAGCCCTTGTCTCTTCTGGGTTTTAGCTCTCATTTTGACGTCTGCTGAAGTATCACCTCTTTAACGGACACTTCCTTAATTCCAGAAGTAATCTTTCTTATATAAACTCCCATCTTCTTGTGTGCCTTTCATGTAGTACTGGTTGACTTATATTTTTTTTTCTTTTTCTCCTTAGCTAATTTTGATTTTTTAAAATTTTATTTCATTATGTTAATCACCGTACATTACATCGTTACTTTTTGATGTAGTGTTCCATGATTCATTGTTTGTGCATAACACCCAGTGCTCCATGCAGAACGTGCCCTCTTTAATACCCATCACCAGTCTAACCCATCCCCCCACCTCCCCTCCCCTCTAGAACCCTCAGTTTGTTTCTCAGAGTCCATAGTCTCTCATGGTTCATCTCCCCCTCCGACTTATATTTTAATTATTTATGTACATGACTATCTAATTGCCCCTAGCTTTTCGAGTGCACAAATCATGTCTTAATCATTTTTGTACTTCATTGTATTTGGCACAATTTGCTTACTGATTAGGTACTTGGTAAATATTTGAACAATTAGTTTACCTAATGTTATTTTCTTTCCTTTACCTTTTAATGAAGTAACCTAAAGTGTTAGTGTACCCAGCAATTGTTTTCTTTACTCCCAACCTATTGTAAAGGGTGAGTAATTCACATTTTATTCCGTTAGATGTTTCCCCAAAGTAATTGTAAATTTTTGGCCAACTTAAGAAATATTTACAAAACTAAGTGCTGTGTGATCCTCCTTATACTCCTCTATGGAAGATACAATAAAAGTCAGAAATATGGGGATGCCTGGGTGGCTTGGTCAGTTAAGCATCTCTCTACGGCTTAAGTCATGATCCCAGAGTCTTGGGATCAAGTCCCTCATCAGCCTCCTTGTGCAGTGGGGAGCCTGCTTCTCCCTCTGCCTGCCACTCCCCCTGCTTGTGCTCTCTCTCTCTGACAAATAAATAAAATCTTAAAAAAAAAAAAGGTCAGAAATGTGGCTTTTTTGTTGTTTTTAAAGATTTATTTATTTATTTGACAGAGCACAAGCAGGGGGAGCGGCAGGGAGAGGGAGAAGCAGGTTCCCTGTGGAGCAGGGACCCCCGATTCGGGGCTTGATCCCAGGACGCCGGGATCATGACCTGAGCCAAAGACAGACGCTTAACCGACGGAGCCACCCAGGCACCCCAGAAATGTGGCTCTTGATAAGTTTTTCTTCCCAAAACCTAGTTGTAGTAGTGCCTTTTGCATACCAAGTATTATCACTGACTTCATTGTCTCTCTTAGTGTTACTAATTTGAATAGTGACCATGTATTGCTATTACAGACCGGAAGGGAAAGACTTCAGCATTCATCGACTTGTCCTGGGAACACACACGTCAGATGAACAAAACCATCTTGTGATAGCCAGTGTGCAGCTCCCTAACGATGATGCTCAGTTTGATGCTTCACACTACGACAGTGAGAAAGGAGGTAGGAATCTTCAAACTGAAAGAAGGAATGATGAATGGGTTCTATCTTTCATATCTTTGAATTGTCATGAAAAGGGTGTAAAGTTTGATTAAGTAGCCTGTCAAATTAGTAATAAGATTTTGAGCTTTGGAAACCCTGCGTTTGCAATACAGATATTATTAGATACCTGGTTCTATGTCTTTTCTAGAAACCCTCCTCTACTAGATGGGTGGGGGGGTCTAGAATTGAAAGAAGCTAAAATCCACCATTCATTCATTCATTCTTTTTTTTTTTTTAAGATATATTTATGTAATCTCTACACTCAATGTGGGGCTCAAACTCAACCCTAAGACCCTGAGATCAGGAGTCGTATGCTCTTCTGACTGAGCCAGCCAGGTGCCCCTTTATTGGTGGGGGGGAGGGGCTTTTTTTTATTCCAGCTTTATTGAGATGTAATTGACATATAACTGTGTAAGTTTAAGTTGTACAGGGTGTTGATTTGATACACTCATATATTGCAAATTATTACCATCATAGGTTTGTTTTTTTTAAGATTTTGCTTTTAAGTAATCTCTATACCCAACTCACAACCCCGAGATCAAGAGTCACATTCTCTACCAACTAAGCCAGCCAGGTGCCCCCAAAGTCCACCATTTATTACTGGTGTGCATGCATGCATTTGTGCATTCTCAGCATGGGAGATAATTGCCCCAAGGGGATGAAAATTGGTTCTTGGGGATGT